GGATTTTTGCATTGATATTTCTAAGAGATATTGACTTACAATTTTCTCTTTAGGTGTTTTTATCTAGCTTTGGTATCAGAGCAATGCTGGCCTCATAAATTAAGTTTGGAAGTATTCCTTCTTTTCTTTTTTGAAGTGAGTTAGATGGATTGGCATTCATTTTTCTTTGGGTGTTTTGTAGAATTCAGCCATGAAGCTCTTTGTCATGATTTTGTTGCTGTTGGGAGGTCTTTAATTACTTTAATCTCTTTCTGTTATTGATTTGTTCTAGCTTTTTGTTTCTTCCTGATTCAACCATGGTAGATTGTGTGTTCCTAAGAATTTATCTATTTCTTCTAAGTTATCCATTTTCTTGACAGGTAGTCGTTTATAATAGTTCCTTAGGATGCTTCTTATTTTTAAAGCGTCCATTCATTTGCCTGGTTTTTAAATTCTTGGGACAAAAAGTCATTATTTCTCTTCCTTCTACAAAAATGCAACCTCCTCCTTTTCTTTCTCCATTTCCTCTTTGTCTGGAGTTAGTCAGGATGGCAGCTTCACCACTCCACATTCATTTGTGATTTTATTTATTTAATTCTTCTCTCTTTTTTCTTAGACCAATTAAGAGTTTGTCAAATTTATCTTTTTTTCAAAAAACCAATTCTCAGGGTTTTTTTTTTTTCTGTAGTTTTTATACTCTAATGGGGTACTGAAGTCCCCTACTATTACTGTATTGCTATTTCTCTCTTCAGATCTGGTAATATTTCCTTGATATATTTAGGTGGGCTGGGGTTGGATTCATGTATGTTCACAGTTGTTAAATCCTTTCTTGATTAATTGACTCCTTTATCATTTAATAGTGACCTTCTTTGTTTCTTATGCAACTTTTTGACCTAAAGTCTTTTTTGTCTATTATAAATATAGCCACCAGTATTCTCTTTGCATGGAGTATTTTTTGTTTGGAATTATTTTTAATACCTTCACTTTGAAACTGTGTATCCTTAAAGCTAAAGTCGGTCTCTTATAGGCAGCATTTAGTTGGATCGTGTTTATTTATCTACTCAGTCACTCTGCCTTTTGACTGAAGAATCTAATCCATTTCTACTCAAGGTAATTACTGATAGGTAAAGACTTACCGCTGTCATTTTGCTAATTGTTTTCTCTGTGTGTGTGTCTGTCTGTGTGTGTGTGTGTCTGTCTGTGTGTGTGTATGTTTTGTAGATCTCGTTTTTTACTTCTTGTCTTCCTTTGTGATTGGATAATTTTCTATAATAAAATGCTTTGATTTCTTTCCTTTTATCTTTTGTGCATTTAGTATATGTTTTGCTTTGTAGTTACCTTTGCGTTTTCTATGAGATTACATTGCTAGTCTTATAGTTGCAACTGTCTATTTCAAGTTGATAATGTCTTAATTTTGATCACATGTAAAAACTCTACTCTTTTATTTCACCCTCACATTTTAATTCTACAATGTCACAATTTTCATTTTTAAATCTTGTATATTCCTTTATAAATGAATGTAGCTATAGTTATTTTTTGGTAGTTTTGTCTGTGACTACACTTTGAAATCCCAGTTTCTTAACTCAAATCTGTTCGCTTATGTGAATCCCACTGCCTCCATTTTTTTCTTGCCTGAACTATTTTTTTTAAAAAAACCTCCAAACATAAAACCCCCTTTTGAACAATTTTGCTACCTCTGAGCTTACTTCCTTTCAGGCTGCTCTTCCAACTGCTACCAGAGTGATATTTCTAACTTGAAAATCTAATTATTTTCCTTCTTAAAATCCTTCTTATCATCTTTAAAATAAAGTAACAACTGGCTACTGTGATATGAAAGGCCCTTTTTGACTTGAATGCCACCTCTCCAAGCTCCTCTTCTGTCACCCTCCAGCATGATCACGTGCTAAGCAGCCCTATCCTCCAGCTACATCCAGAAGTTCCCAGATGTGTCACAGCACCCCAGACCCTTTGCTTGAAGAATTCCTTCTTCATTTATTTATTTGACTAACTCATTCTTTAGGAATCAACTCCAGAGTAACCTGCTCTGTGAAACTGTCCTGTTCCCTCACATGCAGAATCAGATACCCCACCCCTGTGCCTCAGCATCCACACATCTCTGCTGTGGCACTTGACAACGAGTTTTGTCATTAGGAACATGCTTGAGTACCCATTAGACTTTGGGCAGTTTGTGGAGAAGGGCTGTCTTGAAGTGTTGATCTATTTTATTTTTTATTACTTTGAATTTAAATTAAAACCATATATATATGCACATATATACATGCATACATACATACCTACAACAGCTTCCTCATGGAAAGGTTGGGCTTTGATGGATTTTAGGAGCTTGAATCCAGGAGGCAGAGGTTGCAGTGAGCTGAGATCATGCCACTGCAATCCAGCGTGGGTGACAGAGAGAGACTGTCTCAAAAAAGAAAAACAAAATTTTAACCAAGGATTCATCAATAATAAGATCATTTTTTATATCCTTAGCACTCAGAAATATATATTGTCATTTGTTAAATAAATAAAGGATATAAGGAAGGAAAAAGGGCTGGAATAAAGGAAGTGAAGAGAAAAGATCAAAGAAGAAAGAAAAAAGAACATGAAACCATGTGGGGAACTTACTGAGATATACATGGGTAACCGGGATACATAAACAACATCGGAATTCTGGTGGAAATGAAGAAAAGGGAGGAAACCAATGTGGGTGGACAACTAACAGTATTCACACCAAAAATGTTTTGTAGAATACAAAAATAAATCGGACATAAAAGTTGCCCTCAAAAAGCTTTCTTTCTGGTAAAGGAAATTAAAACAAGTATCTACATAAAGTTACAAAGCGAGTAGTGAGAATTGCCTGGGGCGGTTGGTCTTCCGTAAAAGTGTTGAATTAACAAATACTTGAGCAAACAGAGTTACAGGGGCCATTCTTATGGGACTTCAGAGAAGAAGAAAGTTCCATCTATCTGAAAGAGTCTAGGGAGGGATAAATAATGCTTGACTTAGGCCTTGAGGACAGGGAGGATTTGGATAATATGGATAAGGGGCAGCGTTAGGGGTGATGGGAGGATGCGGAGGAGAACATTCCAGGTAGCATGAGGAAAGGAGAGTGAATGAGACTTGTGATTAAATCAGTCTGGCCAAATTATTCAGTTTTGATGGCTCACAGTCACGCCTGTATGACTACAAATCCTGACAGTTTAGACATGCATTATTTTATTGTCTTGACTTTTCTGGCTATGGTGGTAACCACAAATATCATTTCTACCTCTCCCAAAACTTTAAAATCTATTCAGAAGTAGCCAGAAAACATTAGTTACGACAGTGACATGTAACTATCCTAAATCCAACTTTGTTACATGCTGCAAAGATGGAGACTAGGAAGTGAACTCTTGTAATCATTACGCATAGGCGGTGGCAGAGTTTTCACAGCCTTGCTTCCTAATGAAGGGTTGAAAATTCTTTAGCCAGAGTAAAGTAAAGACTAAAAGAGGAGCTAAACTCAGCAGGCTCAGGGAACCCAGATAGCACACAGGAATGACACCACACCTGACCACGGAGAATTACACTTTGCTTGTGCTGCTCAGAAGTCTGAACTCCTCTAGTGAAAGGGTTTTCCAGTTAACAGAGCTTAACCTTTAACGATCGTGACAACTATCTTTGTGTCCTGCTCACAGGTCTTCTGTAGAAGAGGCTGAGTATGACAATGAGAAATGGAAATCATGTTTTCTGTTTTATGGACATTTTAAAAAATGCTAAAGTTTAATAACATGGTATTTTTCTTCCGAGCAACATTTTAAAATTTAAAGTCCATCTTTGAGTCATTTTTTTGCATTATAAGGAATTCCACAAAAGATAGTAAAAATGCAAGTTTAATACTTTTTAAAAATATTGTGGAATAAATAAACTTCCTCCTCTTTCTGAATTAGCTCCTATCTTCAAATGTTCACTGATCACCTTGATCCTCTGGGGTGGTTTAAATATGGTGTGTGATAAATCTAAAAATCATCTTGTTAGACAATGGAATTAGAATATATTAGATTCTAAGAGATTTATGTCATTTGGCTTTCAGTAAATACTGGTTACCTGCTATGGCTGGTATGAGGCTGGGTAATGGGGATGCTGGTACAGAGCAGCTTCCCGACAGGACTCACAGGCCTTTGTTCACCAAGGAGTTCTCAATGGAGGGCGTGTGTTGCCCAAGGTCACTCAGCCTCTGTGGGCTCAAGTTAGAGCTAGAGCTCAGGGTTTTACATTCCCATCCAGTGCCATTCTCCAGATGCCCAAAGTTTAGACAGAAGATTCTGTAAGTACAGAAGCATCCCTGACAATGTCATCTGTGATCCAGGAGTAGGAAGCAGGTTGTTGCAATTCTGCAGGTATAGATATCGGTAAACCCAGGGTTCTTCAGGACCTTGCCAAATCCAGCCTCTAGGGTCAAGAAGGGATCATAGAAAACAGATCATTAAGGTAGAGTAGATGCTAAATTGAAAGGAGGGGCTGGAGGTAATGTTCTGGATACACTTTACAGGCTACTAAGAGGCTATAGGATGAAAGGGAGCATGCCACTGGAGGAGTATTACTGGGAGTTGTGACAAGACAAACAACACAAAAACCTGCCACACTGCCCAATTTCTAATTCAGTGTGCTATATGCATATTTGTATAAAAAACAGCCTTTCTTACTGATATTTCTTTTCTAACCCAATTGGTAAAACAAATAATTGTAAAAATGTTAACCCACTATAATTCCTTTTGGAGTATATATTTTTAGGACAGAAATTTGTGAAAAGGTTGTTACCTTGTGTTTAGTATTTTCTTCATTGGTAAGTCCTCTGTTAAACATAATTGATTTTGGGGCTAGGCATAGTGTCTCACACCTGTAATACCAGGGTTTTGAGAGATCTGGGTGGGAGAATCACTTGAGGCCTGGAGTTCCCGACCAGCCTGGACAACAAATCACCCTATCTCTACAAAACGGAAATGAAAAAATTACCCAGGCACAGTGGCACACACCTGTAATTCCACCTACTTTGATGGCTGAGTTCGGAGAATTGCTTGGGCTGGGAAGTTTGAGGCTGCAGTGAGCTGTGACTGCACCACTGCACTCTAGCGGAGCAGCAGGACAAGACACTGTTTCTGGAAAGGAAAGAAAAAAAAACCATAATTGGTTATTTGAGAAAAATTAAGATTCTCTTCATTGCAATTTGTTGATAGCCCAATGGGAGAAACATGCAATTTCTGTGCTGGGAAAACCATCATGGAATTCATAGGCCTTTGTTCACCAAGGAGTTCTCAGTGGAGGAAATGTGTTGTCCAAGGTCACTCAGTCGCGTGGGGCTAAAGGTAGAGCTGGAGCTCAGGGTTTTAAATTCCTGTCCAGTGCCAATCTTCAAATGCCCAAAGTTTAGACATAAGGTTTCCAGCAAAGGCTTGGTAGGGATCCTCTAGTTCTGCTGCGAAGTATCCACTGTGACATTAACCTTTGTTTCTACCTTCCTCTGCCCCCATGTGGGACTTTAATTAATTAATGGAAGGTCAGATAGCAAATAATTTGCTTTCTGATGGGATTTTGATATGCATTGTAGAGAGTGATGACACATGCACATTTTGGAGACAGCAGCTTCCTGACAATACTCATTACCATGGCTAATTACTGTGGGCAGCGCCTGTCAGCCAGCTCTATCTATAGCGGTAGGACAGAGACGGGGAAACGTCAACAAGGACATAACAAAAAGCACCCTCATTATGCTCTTTCATGGTTGAAACACTCAACGGCACATTTTAGATGAAACCCAGTGACATGTTATTACTATTATCCAGGTTCTTTTACTTGAGGCTTCAGATGGCCGTAGAACTCGGTGACCTTAAAGAGATGAGTTCAGGTCAAAAGAGACAATTGTTGATATATTTCTTTATAGCGCAAGAGGGTTAATGAGCTGGCATTTGCTGATAAAAAGCAAAGCTCCTTTTGCATCTTTATAATTCTTAATAAAACTTGAGACCAAATGAGAAAACTTTGTCTTTTCTACTTCCCTTTCCCTGATTGTGAAATAAATTTGTAAGTGAAAAGAGAAATAACTTCCTTTTTTTTTTGGTAGTTTTACTGCAGTAGATCTAGTTAAGGCATCAGTATTAGAGGCTGGTGATTCTTAACAATGTTGGGGACATTTATTTTTAATCTTTGGTGATTCAACTCTTGCAGTTTGATTTCTGAAAAAGACTGCTGTGTGAGTAACCGGATATTGTACAGTACACTGATTATCTGAGAACAAAAATCTGCCATTTGTAAGCATTTCCTTTTTCTCTAGATATATCATGCGGAATCTGCCGTGAATGCAGGCTCTAAAATCAAATATTCTTAGGCCCTTATCCTAGTTTAGCCTTATGCCACCTGAAAGATGCCTGGTAAATTGACATAAATTTCTTGAGACTTGGAATTTTCTTCCGCACAATGGGACGATAATGGAATCCATGTCATAGGGTATTAATGAGCATTAAGTGAGGTGAAGTGAGTGAAGCCTTGGCGAGGTATGTAGCCCATTCTAGCAACTCAGTAAGTGCTATCAGATATAATGTGATTGGTAATGTAGAGCTTTTTTGAGCTTTTCAGATTGTACTTGATATTTTAAACACTCATAACTGCACTGACCCTGAGTTCCATTACTAAGAAATGGCCAACTTTGGCTACAAGTATGGAAACTGTCATAAGTACTATTTCTCCAACACTTTCTAAGCTGTTAGCATATGGTCATAGGTGATGTTTGTAGTAAATACTGTGTAGAAATTTCATTTGGTGAAAATAGCTCCCTTTAAAATAATTCTGATACAGGGTCCTCCTCTGTCACCCAGGCTGGAGTTCAGTAGCGTGATCTTAGCTCACTGCAGCATCGACCTCGGGGGCTCAAGCCATTCTCCTGCCTCAGCACCTCCCAGTAGCTGGAACTACAGGCATGTGCCACCACGCCTAGCTAATTTTTATATATTTTTGTAGAGTCAGGGTTTTTCCATGTTGCCCAGGATGGTCTCGAACTTTTAGCCTCGAGTGATCCTCCTGGCGTGGCCTCTCAAAGTGCTGGGATTACAGGCATGAGCCACCATGCCTGGGCAAATAGTTCCCTTTTAAAGAATAAGTGGTTATCCCTATTGTATTACCAAGTAAAATGAGAGGAAAAAAAGACTATTTTGATATCTATAACTAGCTGTCTTTCAGGAATTCTGTTAATTTGGTTTATTGCTATAGACATTCTTAATAATCATATAATTTCTGGTCATAATAATTGTTGGCTCTTTGAATATTGGTTTAAAAAAGTTTGTATAATGAAAAATTTCAAACCTGTACAAAACGAGAGAAGAATAAGTTTGTGTGTACACCTCATCCAACCTCAACAATTAAGAATGTATGGCCAGTTGTATTTCATCTAAATTCCCACTCACCTCCCCCTTGCCTCATCACAATGAGTTATTTTGAGAAAAAATAAAAAAGCCAGATGTTATGTTATTTTGTTCCTAAATACTTAGAAATATATCACTAGAGGATAAGGATCCTTTGATGTTAATAAAACCACAGTACCAATATCACACCTTAAAAATTAAATTCATTAATATCATCAAATATCCAATCAGTTCTCTAATTTCTTCAATTATTTTGTGAACATTGTTTTATAGTTTAAGTACCACTTTTGTATAAAAGAAAATGAAAGAAAAAAAGTAATTTTATTGTGTGTTTTTGTTCATGTGATATATACCATAGTAATTTCTGTCAATTGCCTTCCAGGAAGTAACATATTGAAAAATATCTTTTTAGTAGTTGCATTTACAAGGCTACGGCTAGGTGCATCTAGATCCCAATGGTGAGAATTTTATTGGGAGTTAGGAATATCACAGCCAACATCAGGATTACTGTTTTATATTTCCACCACATAAGAACTGATTTTTTTTCTTTGTTATCTAGACACCGTCAATGAAGACTAACCCAGAATAATTTATATTTCCAATTATACTTAGGAAACCCATTGCAAGAGTTTCCTTTGATTTGCAATTTGAGCTACATCCATACCATATTTTGTCTTGGAAAAATATTGATATCTGTGGAAATAGTCATGACTTTCACCTGTAAAAGCTGTTAAGTGTCCTAGAAATGAATTAAATAGGAAGTCTCTCATTAGGGTGATCATTTTATGATATCTTTGTGAGCCAGGACACTGGAGGACAAAACAAACATTTAACCCAGCCAGTGGGGTCACGAAAAGTGCAAACCTTTTCACTTTCTGCCATACTTATTCCAGAATATTCACGTGTAAATCATGCTTTCAGAGCCATGCTATGCTTTGGATGTCTACAGAAGCCTGCTATTCAAGGAGAACTACAGTGAATCCTTTTGCAAAGTAAGGAATATGTTGTTTTGAACCATGAGTAAATATGGTTAATTTAGTTCTCTTATAGTAAGCTTTCCATATATTAGTCTTTTTGAATGGATCTAACTTGAATGTTGTTGCTATTAAAATATTACCCTCTTCTTACTCTTTTTGTTTTAAAGTAAGAATGTGGGTAAAAACTCTAAGCTTCTATGGCCTTACAACTGCTCCATTCTATAGAATTGCATTTCTCTGAGATTTGTTTGCTTTTCTTCTCTGAGTCAGTATTATGTTTAAATGGTGCCAATGGGTTTTCTTTAGCCATTTTTTACAATGCCTTACAGTTTGTCACACCAGTGGATTGTGCAATTGTCCAGGAAACATTATCACTTCCCACGTAGGAGAAGGGATGACAGTCAGTAGGGAAGTCTTTTATGCTCCAGATCATGTCACAGAAGAAACAAGTGAAGATTCGTGCATGGTTCTCTTGTATTGATTAGGAATGTGTGTGTTTCATTCCCATTCCTGTGCATGTTCTTCTGTCGGGATGAGATTTCTAACTGCTCAGTTGTCTCACTGTGGTCACAAGGATGACCTCACAGTGAGTGGGGAGGACCCAGAGAACCCATTTCTACCCATGGCACAGCAGCCCACAAGAGGAGATCCCTATACCACGCCCAGATACCACATGCCTAGTGCGTTTTGTGCTTTTGCCTTGGGCATATTAATTCCATGTCACTGATGGCTTCCTGGCTAAAGGTTAAATGTCTGTGTGAGCCAAGAAGGCACATTCCTGTTCATGCCTGTCTTTACTTTTCCCTCCTTATCTTCCAGTTCTGGTCCTGTTTGCTTCCTGGACAGTTTGCATTACTTCCAGGAAAAGTCTAGCCATTCAATGAAAATGTAGTACAATTAAACATACTTCTATTGAGCACATTCTTGGCAAGAAAAACAATGTCTTGGCTGTCAATCCATTGCCTGAAACACACTGATAGTTGCTAACCATGCACATTTTTGCATATAAAATGTCCACGCGGAAGCGCACCTGCTGTCTAGACCTGGGTTCTTGCTCCCCTGTGGCCGGAACTGTTGCTGCAGCTGCCTCCTGACCTACCACACAGGCCAGCCACAGGCAGGCACAAAGCACACCCCTAGCTGTGGGCTCGAAGCTGATGGAGGTAATTTGGGCTCTGCCAGTAAGGGCTCTTAAAAGCCAAGGAGATAATTTCATTTTGACCTTTTCTCCCCACGGTTCACATGAGGTGAAATTAATTTTAATAGTCATTCATCAAAGGCATTTTGACCATTAATGTAAAATCATTGCTTTTAAAAGTACCCAGATGCTTGTTAAGAGGAAACTATTGCACTTCTAAATAGTCTTCAATTTTAAAAATACCCTTTAACAACGTTAGTCCATAGAATTTTGAGACCTTCTTAAACTTCACTTTCCAAGTTGCATTTAAGCCATTTCTTTCTAGACCATAGTGCAGAAAGAAACGTATCGTGTCTTCCCACCTGTTGGTGCTGCTTTTTAAGTGGAGGCTAGTTCATTTCCAGTTCTGAAATGCTTACCTCTTGCTGATTTCACTGATATCACCAGTCATGAAATGTTTACATGTTTTGGGGAATATCCTAACGCTTATGAAATGGACATTGGTGGGGGAGGGGGTGGTAAAAAATCTTTTATATAATAACTTGGCTTCTGAGATAAGTTGATTCTTAAGGAAACTGACCCATCTTGGTCTATTCTCTACCTATTTCCAATCATAGGGGTGTAAGCAAAGCTCAAGTTTTCACTAAAGAATAACACATTTTTCCCTCAGACTTTTGCTTACGAAAGCAGAGAAAGCTGTTGTTAATGTTTTCATTTAGCTGACAAAATTGCAGTTATCTATTTTAGGGAGGATTTGATATTTGTTAACAACTGTGAATCATTTCATAGATAATACAGGCTTTGGCTTTCATTCTGTCAGATTTCAGAACAAACTTTTATATTTCCTGAAATAAATGTGGAATGCATACTTTGCTCAAGGTAGAATGAACCTAACCTATATGAAGTCAATTAAATAAATGTGTAATTGATCACCTTAACCTGAAAGCGTGAGATCTCTAAAAGTGTCTCATGATCTTAACATGTATATGCATGTTTCTTTTGATGATAAATATGTAAAGATACATCTTTTATCTGATTGTTAAAAGGCACCTGGCTATCACTTGATTTTCCCACTTGTAACATAGATGTCAGGTGAGCTACTTACTCTTTGAATAGCTGATTACATTGGGCCTGACTCAGTTTCCAGCTTGTGATGCCCCAAAGTCCTCTGTAGGAGAGCTAGGAAGCCCTGGGACTTTCTTCCTCATGAGATCCTCAGCCTCAGTGCTCCTGAGTAGGTGTGACAGCTTCAGCCTGCTTCGGCCTGGCCACAGAATACCACCTCTTTCTCAACCAGTGCCTGTAAGAACAGCCACATTAATAACATTTTCTGATTTTAGTAACCTTTATTGACAATTTGGGGGCTATGGAGAGAGATCATTCAAAAAAGGACTTCCCTTTGATGTCTCCTTATCTCTACTTCATTCTCTCTTCGTCTCCCTGCCTCCCTTACTGAAGAAACAAATTCCCTTCTTTATGACTCACTAGTTCTCCCAGAGGTCTCAGCTTCCACCCCTGGTGCTTACCTTGTTACCAAATTGAACTTGGGTCCACTTACCCAGTGCACAGAAAAAGCCACATGGACACCAGGATTTGCTGCAAGAGAAAGTGAGGCATGATTTCAGAGCACCAAGCAAAGAAAATGGGCTGCTAAAGCTTAAGATCTTAACTTCTCAATGGCTTACAAGCAAGGACTTTAAAAGGCAGGTGTATGTTTCAGGAAAGTAGAAGTTACAGGCAAAATCATAAATCATTACATGGAGGTTATAAATTGGTTTGGTCCGAAAGGCTGGATACCTTGAAGCAGGGACTTTATAGCTCATAGGTAGATTCAGAGATTGTTTGCTAGAAAACTTGGGGTCAGCAGAAAGAAATGTTCAGGTTTGGCCTATAGGCATGAATCTCTTCAGGCCCATCAGGAAGAAATGCAGAACAAAGAGTGGTGGTTGGAGTTCAGCCCACAGCTCCCCCTTTTCTGAGGTCTACATGACAGCGGTTGGCATTCTCCATCTTCTAGGGGTCCGGATTTCTATAAAACAACTCAAGAAGATAATGTTAACATGCTTTCTTTTAGTTTTTGTAGAGAACCAAAACACCTTGTGACTCTGACTTGCTTGGGAGACTACTATTAATATCTCGTTTGCTTTATCAGATTGTTCGTTTACTTTTCAAGCCTAGGTAGGTGTCTGAAATTTCCCTTGAAGGAACTCAAATTTTTTTCTTTATTTCCATGCTTGGGGACCCTGGCAGGCCCCTAAGAGGAGTCCCTGCTCCATCTCAATCTGTGTAGTTTCCTAAGGAAATCTGGAATATAAAATGATCCCTATCTTCTTACATGCCATGCAAAGATTTTAGTTCTGGTTCCCAAGGAAAAGCCAGGATGCCTGGGGTCTGAGGGTCCTGCCCCTGACCCTCTATGTGACCTTGTCTCAGTCGCTTCACCTCTCTAAACCTCAGTGTCCCCATTTGTAAAGTGGAGATAATAACATAAGAGAGGCTGACCTTTTTTTAAAATTTTTATTTAAATTGAGACAAAGTCTTGCTCTGTCACCCAGGCTGGAGTTCAGTGGCGTGATCTGGGCTCACTGCAACCTCTGCCTCCTAGGTTCCAGCGATTCTCCTGCCTCAGCCTCCTGAGTAGCTGGGATTGCAGGCATGCACCACCATGCCTGGTTAACTTATGTATTTTTTAGTAGAGACAGAGTTTTACCATGTTGGCCAGGATGATCTTGAACTCCTAACCTCAGATGATCCGCCCATCTCAGCCTCCCAAACTGCTGGGATTATAGGCATGAGCCACTGTGCCTGGCTGCTTTGTTTGTCTCTTATGTCCTTTGATATCCTGGAGGGTAGAGCAGGTCCAGGGTCTGGACCTTCAAATTTTCACAGGAGTACAAAGCAGCTCTACCCTCTAGGGCCTTACATAGGATCCCTTCGTTGAAGGAACAGAACACTTTAGGTACATGATTTTGGTGCTTTTTAAGATAGATGTATGTATACATGCATACATAAATATTTAGAGAGAAGGTCTCACTTTGCCACCCAGGCTGGAGTATAGTGGTGTAATCATAGCTCACTGCAGCCTCAATCTCCTGGGCTCGAGTGATCCTGCCACCTCAGCCACCCAAGTAGATGTGACTAAAGGCAGTGCTGCCACATCCAGCTAATTGTTTCTTGATTTTTTGTAAAGACAGGTTCTTACTATGTTGCTCAGGCTAGTCTCGAACTCCTGGCCTCAAGTGATCTTCCTGCTTTGCCCTCTCAAAGCTGTAAAATGTATATTTTAATTCAGAGATTGTCCATATTGTCATGTGGGTCTGAAATATTCCAGCTATATCACCTTTCCTGATGAAGGTTCTGAGTGGACATGAGGGTGTGTTCAGGCCTGAACGGTGAGAGGGTGTACTTATTGAACACTCGTATACCTTGTGACACTGGCATAAGCAGCAATTTGCTACTCACAACTACCCTGAAGATAAGACATTTTAACACTCTATTTCAGAAAGAAGGTGACTGAATTTGTGAGAAATTAAACAACTTGCTCAAGGCCACACAGTCATTATGTTTTATGTCAAAGTACACTTACCTCCAAAGCTCGTGGTTCTTTATATTAGTCCATTTCTCACACTGCTATAAAGAACTACCTGAGACTGGGTAATTTATGAAGCAAAGAGGTTTGACTGACTCATAGTTCCACAGGCTGCACAGGAAGTATGGCTGGGGAGGCCTTAGGAAACTTACAAGCATGGCAGAAGGTGCAGAGGAAGCAAGCACGTCTTCACAGGGCAACAGGAGAGAGAGCAAAAGGGGAAATGTCACACCCTTTTAAACCACCAACTATCATAAGAATTCACTATCATGAAAACAACAAGGTGGAAATCTGCCCCTGTGATCCAGTCACCTCCCACCAGGTCCCTCCCCCAACATTAGGAATCACAATTCAATATGAGATTTGGGTGGGGACAAAGAGCCAAACCATATTCTTCCATTATATCAAGTTAAGGTATACATCATCATTCATGCAGAAGACAATCTGAACTTCTATATCCACCAGTTCTCTTGAATCCTAGAAGGAGATTTAAACTTGGAGGAACAACAGACTGGAAGATCTTTAGGGTCACTGCCACCTGTAGCATTCCAAGAGGTTATTAATCTATTTTTTTTTTTTTAGACACAAGTTCAATGGGGTGCTCATAAAAAAAATTATTTATTCCTTATTTTACCTCTTCTATCCAAACAATAGTCTCTAGAGTGAGCTGTGCAAGACAGTCCATCAGGTTGTAGAGGAAAAATGTTAGACAGGAAGAGGAAGTTGCCAGTCTCTCAAGGCCTGGCCTATGAATCAACATTTTGCATTCTATTGGTGAGATGGTCATAGCATCCATCTAAGCTCAAGAGGAAGATACAGAGCTTACGCTTGGGAAGAAATACCACAGAATTTCTGTCCATCTTTAAATCTTCCTCAAGGTGCATTATTTTTGTAAAAATGATCCCAGCAAATCTGTCCTCCCTGTAGCAGAAAGGACTTTTTGTAGGAGTTACGTTCTGTGTCCTCCTCCATCACTGCTTCTACCCGTCACCGTCAGCATTGG